CAGTCTGGCAGGGAGCCAGGGGGGAGCTTGGGATTCTCATGGCTGCTGTGGCTGGTGGCCCCCTTCACAACAATAGCTCATTGGACTCCTGTCCTTCCCACCCCGCCTCTGAAATTATCACATCCATGTTAAATCTCTGGTAAGATACTATCAGACACTCCAAAGTCCAGTTTGGAACTAGAGTCCTTGCTTGATTCAAACCAGAGTCCTTTCTCCCTCCCTGGTTCTACCTCCCCATCTACTCCCTGCTTTTTCTCTCTGTCCAGCTGCTAAGGTCCCTGGGCCATCAGAGGTGAATAGAACAAACCTAGGACATCCATCTCCACCGAGAGGAGACGCCTGCATGACTCTCTATCTGCATCAGAGTTTCTCATCTTCCAGGAGTTAAGAGGAGGAGCTGCTTTGGGGACATCCATTTCCTCTCCTTACATAACAATACTCTACATTTGCACAGGCATTCTTGGTTTTAAAGGGTTCCACATTCAACTTCTCATTCAGGGCTTATCACAAAACGCTAAAGTAGCTAGGGTCATGGTGACCCTCATCCCTTGTCAAAGATGAGGCCACTGAGGCTCAGGGTGACTACCTATGTGCCAGGAGTTGCTAAGTGGTGGATCACAGACTCCAGTTCAGGGGAGGCAGGGTGGTAAAGAAGCAGCTGGATGAACCTGGCTTTGAATTCAGCTCAGAAATGTTCCATCCGTGTGACACCACAGGCAAGTGACTTAACCTGATTGAGCCACAGCTTCCTTATCTAGAAAAAGGGATGATCGTGCATCCCTCAGAGAGCTGTGGTGAGCATTCACAAATCATGAATGAAACACGCATAGCATAGGGTTTGGCAAATAGAAGTCCAGTCAATGTCTCAGTCCATCTCCAGTGTTTCTTCTGGTTCCAAGCTCAGGACTATCCTTTAAACCAAGTGGTAGATACTCAATGAACATGTTTTAGTCGATTTAGCCCTCTCCTTTCTCCCATCCCTCCCCAAGTGAGAGGATGTTTATTCGCAGCTCCATGCTGCAGGGAGCTCTGTAAACAAGGAGTGGCAGCAGTACTTTCTCCAGGTGGCACAACAATGAAAGGCCACAGGGCCTAGGGCTGCTCCCTGTGGATATTCAGTCTTGGGGAGAGGCCAGGCAGCAGGCTGGCTGCTCTGGACACTCCCTGTGGCTTCTTCACCCTAATTGGCTGCCCAGTATACTGAGTAGCAAAATGGCCTTTGGAAAGGCCCATCCTGTGGCCACAATGATTTCTAGCAGGCCAAATGAGAGCACTGCCTGCTGGGAGCACTGCCAACTCCTCTTGTTGGGGATTCTCTGGGAGCTCCCGAGGCCTTACTGGAGCACTGTGTGCTTGGCTCTCTGAATGCTTAGACGTGACGGGCACTTTAGCTATGGGTCCTTCAGGTAAATGTGGCTAGAAGGGTCAGGTCCTGATGTTGTTTCAAATAAAAGCTGAAGACAACGGACCTTATGCAACTCCCTCACTATTCACTGGGGGAACCAAGGCATGGAGGAAGCACGTGACTCCCCAAGGTCATACACTTCTGCCAAGTGCAGGGCAAACACTGCAGATTGAACTCCTGGTCTACTGCTTTCCATAGCATCAGCTAAGATGATTGCTCTGAACCTGGGGCTACGGCAGCCTCTGATGATGACCGTGGGCATCTCCTACTCTATTCTGGAGGCTCCCCATTGATCCCTATGTGGAAGTCTTCCTCTCCCTTCTAATCCCAGTAGGCACTGGGGTTTAGCCATCCACAGCAGAGGATCCTGCTGTGGGATACCTGAAGGGTGGCACTGAAAACACTATCAGATCAGCAGAGAAGCTCTGTCCCCTTACCCCCAAGGGCCTTGGATGGCCTCCAACCAGGCCATTTCTCCTTCCTGGGCTGCACTCAGCTGTGACTGGGCTCCTCTCTCTGGCATGCCTCCTCTACATCCAGAGCTCTTCTAGGTTTTCCCCCTTCTGCCTGACTCCTTTTTCCTTTCTCCTCCACTTGCTTCAATCTTCTTGGGGCATTTTAAGCCTAGCATTTTAAGCCCACCTGTGAGTTCCTCTTGGGTTTGTGGTAAGGTCTAAAGTCTGTTATCAAGAGAAATTCCAGCCAAAGTGGATTGTGAATATGAAAAAGACAGAAATACAGAACTTAAGTTTATAATAAAACGATATAAAATAGATATGTATGGCCGGGCATGCTGGCTCACACCTGTAATCCCAGCACTTTGGGAGGCCGAGACGGGTGGATCACCCGAGGTCAGGAGTTCAAGACCAGCCTGGCCAACATGGTGAAAACCTGTCTCCACTAAAAATATAAAAATCAGCTGAGTATGGTGGTGTAGCACCTGTAGGCTACTTGGAAGGCCGACGAGGAGAATTGCTGGAACCCGGGAGGCGGAGGATGCAGTAAGCAGAGATCTAGCCACTGCACTCTAGCCTGGGCGACAAGAGTAAAACTCTGTCTCATAAAAACAAAAATAAATAAATACATACACAAAATAGATATGTACTTATGGAAACCATAGAAAAGTGTTTGGCAACCATCCCAAGATACCTGACAACGTGAAATATTTTTATTACAACTTGTCTGACTTTCAAAGGTTTTCATAGCACCTGCCTTCCTGTTATTGCCTACTATGCTCCTCGTGCACTTTCAACTCAGCACAGGCAGGCTGCACTGCCTCCAAAATACACCAGTTGAATCCTGCCTCTTCTCCTTTGTCCGTCTGAGCCGCCCTCTCCATGTTTCTGACCCTGTCATCCTGATCTCACTTCATGGCGCAGTTTGCTTCCATTTTGCATTTAGCTTTCCCCAGGTACACCGTCAACAGCTAGCTACTGTCTGATGTCATCAGTCAGCACTTCATCAGAGACAATTGCGTCTACAGAGCTTTTGGCTAATTACTGTCACTTCTCCTTACCCGTGTGCATACGCATATCATCTTTCCCTAATGAGACTGGAAATAATGATTCATTCCCTGGAGCAGTGGTTTCCATAAATGACCAACCCACAGACCAGTGCAAACTCGCTGCAAAAGAGCTTCCTCTGAGGAACTAATTAGAATGCAGATTCTTGGACTGCATGGGAGGACAGAATCTCATAAATCTGGGTGTAACAGGCACAGAACACTAGGTATAATATGGGTGGGACTTTGGACTAACATATCCAATCAACCATATCTGGACAAGCTGCTGGTGATTCTGACGAAGCTGATGAATTGCCAGGTTGGGAACTGCTGGCACCAGACAACCCAGCAGAAAGCTCTGTCCATGGTAGGTGCTCACTTCCCTGTTGTTTAGGTGTATGCCTCCTGATAATGAGCTTGATCATAACAATACTGTTATATTATGCCTGTACTGTTTCCTTAAGTGAGGGAAGAATGATTTTGAGTACCTAAGAGGTGGCAAGCTCTGTGTCTACATACATGATCTATTCCTTTTAATAACCTTTTGCAAACAAAGTGGTATTTTCATTGGGCATTAGAAATCTGAGAAAATTAGTGTTAGAATCTGACCTCCAATGTAATGGGCTCAGTCTATGACCTTTCTACTTACCAGAGGTAAGTAGAAAGCTGGTTTGTACCTGGCTTGCAGATACCTTCTTTGGGCAGCACAATGTTCAAAATTTAAAAAATTTACCAACACTTCTATCTAGATACTTTGTATTGATATCTGGATTTCTGGTTTCTCTTTATGGGGGAAAAAAAAGGTTTGGTGAACACTGGGGCCCATGTTACTGCAGGGCGACAGTCACGTGGAGCCTTTAGACGGGCATGTGCCTACCACTCACAGTAGTCCCCATCACTCACTATTGTCTTACGTTCTGTTCCCAACTAGGTTCTCATAGGCCTGGTTTGTGACTGCTGCACACTTAACCTACTCTCTTGCTTCCCACTGGTCAGGAAATCTGGCAAACTTAAAAGGCCTTATGTTGCTCGGTCCTGTATGGATGTGTGATCATAGAGGGTGTGTGCATTTCTGACTTTTTGTGATTTCAATACTAAGGAAGCTGTTGATACATTATCAAGAGAAAAGTGCTCCCCAAATTACACATTCTGGTGTATCCCAGTAAAATTCTATGTTCAACCTCCAGACTAGCTGGGAAAAATATGGCAAATCATCTACTTGCTCCAATTCAATGGTGTTTAGAAGTAAGAAGACACCGTAAGCAATGCCACCAAGTGGTGGAGAGACTCCATGCAGAATCGCCACCCTCAGCCAAAGACCTTTCTCAACACACAGGGCCATGCAGAAGCTAGAAACAAAATGCTTGCCCGTCTCCATAGGCTGGTCCTTCCAAGTAGCTATCTAATCTATCTAATCAATCAATCAATCAATCAATCAATCTATCTATCTGAGATAAGGTCTCTCTGACACCCAGGCTGGTTTGTGTCAGTGGCACAATTGAGGCTCACCGCAATCTCAACCTTCTGGGTTCAAGCGATCCTCCCACCCGAATAGCTGGGATAACTACAGGCACAGGCCACCACACCACAAAAGGGATGTGAGCCATGTTTAAAGTCACCTGGTCACGCAGGGATCTTGTTCTACTCTCTACATCAGTGTTGCCAACTTTACCAGGGACTGATGTCGTGGAAGACAATTTTTCCACAGACTAGGGAAGAACAGGGGGAATGGTTTCAGGATGAAACTGCTCCACCTCAAGTCATCAGACATTAGATTCTCATAAGGACCGTACAACTTAGATCGCAAGCATGTGCAGTTAATAGGGTTTGCCGTTCTGTGAGAATCTCATGCCACTGCTGATCTAACCTCAGGCGGTAATGCGAGCGAGGGAGAGCCGCTGTAAATACAGCCCACTGCTTACCTCCTGCTGTGTGGTCCAGTTCCTACCAGGCCAAGGACGGTACTGGTCTGTAGCCCCGGGGTTGGGGAATCCTGCTCTACAGTTTCCAACCTCAGAGATGAAGCATCCCCTCTATAAGTCAGAAAGAAATTATTAAAGTAGGAGAATTAAAACAGGATCACAGAGAGAGAGGTTGAAGAATTTGACTTTCTGTGTTTACTTGTATGAGGCAAAACAGCACATAGAGGCATCCACAGTATTTAATTTGTTTGGATAATAGTTACAGATAAACAGGTACACCCCATATACAATTACCAATACTTTTTATACAGTTCATATTTCAGTACATCAACACTATTTTATTTACACTCTATTTATGTACATTAACATCTTTCTAAAGTCAGTGCATTGTCAACAAGTTTTATACAGTAATTTACAAGGTGAATGTAGTTAATAGTTAATTTAATAAACTTTCTGCTAGTTCATGAATTAAAAAAATTAATTACAACCAGTATAACAAACACAGATCAAACAACATTAGTAGATTGTGCTACCTGCTTAAATAAAACATCTGTAAAGAAATTATTTAAAATCTTCCACTTTTTAATGGGACATGTCCAGGAATGGACACATTTTATATACTGAAAATCTGAAACTATAAAGTATGCATTTTGTCTGACTTTATTACACTATACAATTTAGGCCACTCCTTTCTACTTGTAATTATATTTTTTCTGAAAAGGATTTCAATTTAGGTAGTCATTTAAGGTAACCATTCCAAATGCTCTGAAAAGAACTAGATATTAATAGTTACTGGCCTCAGATATCAGAACACAAATGCTTAGTTACATTGGTAATTACTACCTCTGAGGAAGAAAGGGTAGTGGAATCTGACAATTAATGAGAATCAACTTGCAGGGTCTAAATGAATAAACAAAGACCAAAAACAAGATGAAACATTTCCTTCAAATATATATTAAAAAACTACACAGAAAAAAAATGCTACCTGAAATAAATAATATTTATGTTTGTTCCAGTCTTGAATAATTGGAGAAAAAAATGAAGTAAGCAAAGAAACATAACTTTTAATAACTACTGTAAAATTTTTTAAAAAGACAAATATCAAAATAAAAAAATTAGTGGACATGCAAATAAAGCAAAACTAAAGTTGACTTCCTAAAACTACCAACTTCCTTAAATAAATTTATGAAATCCTAATGTCTGGGATGTGTTTTGTTTTAATTTATAGCCCTTAGAGCCATCAAATACACACAAGCAGATCCATTTGCATGTGTTCTCTCTTTTTTAAAGTGCAAAACAAACACGGAAAAGAACCACTAATTGTGAAACTTGATCTAGCTCCAATGCTGCTTACCTTCCCAGAAGCTCTTGTTGCAACATGTGCATGTGAAGATGATGCAAATATTGGCAAACATCCCCTCCCTCAGCATGGGTGGGGCCGGGGGTGCGGAATACATTTCTGAGGATACTTGAAGTATCCTAAATGTAAGATGCCTCCATTGGGAGGGCCATGGTAGCTGGATTTCCCAGGATGCGTTTTCTTTTTACTGGGTCTCCCACAAGGCTCTGGGTGGAAGGCACATAGCTCTTAAGAGAGCCTCCCTTTCAGACTAACCACTATATGCCCCTGCCACCAATGACTGGTTGTGTCTCAAACTCAAACACAATGACAAAAACAAAAAACAAGAAAGACAGAGTAGGGAAACAATTTAAAAAATAAATCAAAAAATCATCATCCATGCCATAAGAATCATTTGCACACCTTCATGATCTTGCTTTCTCCATCTTGTCAATATAATGGAATAAAACTTCAGGAAAAAGGAGGTAGCATATCATGTCGTCCCTAGACAACATTATAATTTTTTGTTTTTTACTTTGACTCCAAGGAAATCTTTAATATTTGTTATGATTACTGGTAAACTCTATACTCACTACATATTTGTTCACATCTGGACAAGCACAGTTGAATTCTTATTTGGTCCCAGGTGGCTGGTGCCAAACCCTTTGTTTACAGGCTAATGGTGGGATCTGCCTGAAAGTTCTCTGTCGGAGAGCTTGTATGAGACTTCAAAATAAAATTATTACTACTCTTAAAGTTAACTATTTTAATTAGAATTTTTATTTTGTGCTTCAGGGTCACAGGATAAAATAACTACATTTAGCTTGCCTTTCAGTGACGCTTCTGCCAAATGTCAGCTACAAGGAGTCATCTCCCTCACCACCAAGCTATCTAGCAGCCAGAGTGGTAGCTTTACTGTAACACACAGTACTTTTTATAATCAGACTCAAAGTCTTCATCCATACTGCTTGTGTCTGCCATCTTTTTGCCATCAATCTTTGGCAGAAATTGTGCATAGTCTATCCCCTGCTGCTCATAGAAAAGAATGTAGGCAGAGTCGGTGTCAATTTCATCAGGGTGAAGTTCCTGAAAGGGCAAGAAAAACCTTTAACAAAAAGCCATCACTATATGGCTCTAAATCCTTGCCAGGGAAGGGGAAACCAACCCTCTGTAATTACTAAACATGATTGCTTCTGATAAGCTCACTAGTTTGGCTATTTCACACCTGCCCCTTTAAAATGAGCCCCATTATTTCCAAAGTTTGCTTTGGGGAAAGTATTTTGACCATAGACAAGTCAAAAAAGAATGACCTAAAACCCCATCAAATTTTTTTTTTTTTTTTTTTTTTTTTTTTTT